AAATTGGGCTGGGCTTCAGCTGGAGTGAGATATCAGGATGTGTAAGCACTTTCCATTTTCCCATGCTTCTGCTCCCTCCTAGGCTTAGAGTTCCGCGATCCTTCGCAGGTTTCGCTGATTTTTTCGCGATTTGCGCGATTCACGCGATTTGCGCGATTCACGCGACGGATCGCAAAAATTGCAAGTGTGTGAACATTTGAAACACTGAATATGAAACAAGTGGAATCATGAGCAGTCGTCATTCAGCCATCACTATCAAGCAGAAGTGGCGGCAGGATTGGAGAACACCTTGCAGTATTGATCGGGCACTTGTGATTTCCGTGACCCGTCGCGTGAATCGCGCAAATCGCGAAAATCAGCGAAACCTGCGACGGATCGCGGACTCTGACACCATTCGTTGGGCATGCCACGTGTATTTGCGATGGCCCGGGGCCTTCAGTTTCCTTTTTTGCTTCTTCTCCCTTTGGGGGGCTTATAGTTTTTATTTAAGATGGACTTTTCTCCTGGTGGGGCCACTCGTGCTCCGCAAACTGTTATTGACTTGGGTGCTGTGCCAAGCATAGACAATTTTGGTTTTTACGATTCTGGTGGCTACGAAACGACCGCAGCTGGCACTCATCAGTTCCCATCAGGTACGCTTCAGATATTTAGCAACATTTTTGATGGATTGAAACCCTCCATGGGGCCGCATCCATGCTCAGCCTATGGTTGATGTTTCAAAGATTCAGCAGAGGAACTGGATAGGTAGTGACTGAATGGTTTCGAGTGAGCAGTTACGCCGCTCTCAGACTTCACTTTTAGAAGAACGAGGATCTCTTTATCCCCGGATTTCGGGTACCCGACAGGAGGCCCGTCGCGCGGCAGCAAGGCAGTGAGCAGCGCAGTACTGCAGTGATTTCGCGTCAAATTAAAGAATGTACGGTGAATTCGGGGGGGGGGCACGCGATGGCGCGGCGCTGTTTTCGTCTGCTCTACCAAGGCTTAGTCACCGATGGCGCGTATTTTGAAACTGCCACATATGGCGAAAGAGTAACTGTCCCTGTGGACTAAGCCCTGGAGGAGCAGACGAACAGAGCGCCGCGCCATCGCGTGCCCCCCCCCCCGAATCCGAGTTTCACCGAATGTACCACTGTACGTTCTACATCGCACTGTCCGCTGTCTGCCTTATTGCCGCGCGACGGGCCTCTTGTCGGGTACCCCGGGTTTCATTCTCGACATCAACTGGATCTTTTAATCTCATGTTCTCCTCCTCTCCTATTCTTCTATTTCCGTATTCCCAAGAGCCCAAATACCTCTTTAATTTTCGCCTACTCCCTTAATCCCCTCAAACTTCGAGTATGAATATTGTCTAAAAGGAGTCGACAGAATTGCGCCGACAAATCGTACCGACAAATGTATAATCGATTATTTAAAGGAATCTTGCGCGGAAAATTCTTGCACTCTTTCCTAACATGAATATGTCAGTTGTGATCACTGGAAATAGCACACAAAGTTTCACGCATGAAGATTCGGTTTCTGAAGAGAAACAAACGTACAAAAACTACACGTTATGGACCATCGAAGGACCAGGAGGCAGAGCCAGGCGAGGCATGGAAAGAAGACGGCGTTTGGCCGGCTACGTACCAGGCGACGCAATGAGAGAATCGGGTTAAAGCGCGCGATTTCGGAGAGTGGAGACAAATCGATCGATGGAATAGGATGGAGTAGAAGTGTAAGATGTGAATGCAACGAAGCAGAAGGCCAGAAAGAGCTTCTAGTGAATGCACTCCAAGAACCAAGTTGAGCATCCCCGTCGCCAGCATTCGTGAAAGACGTCCGTGGCAATTCGAACGCGTAGCAGCCTTTTCGAGTTTTCGAATTTCTAATCAAAACGAAAGCAATACTTCAGTTCTTTTCACTATTATCGTGGATAATGAGTCTCAAGCCAGTGATTTATGGCTGAAATAGAATCATGATTTTTCCGCGCAAGATTCCTTTAACTTTTGAAAGATGGAGAATTGGGATAATTCTGGAATCGTAACATGAGGCTTAGATGTGTACTGGTTTTCCCGCCCTCCGAACATTTTAGGGGCCCGATCATTACGCATCTACTCCTTGCCTTGTCGCAGTCTCTAATACCTGCTTCAGCTCTCCATCCACTAAACAATCGCGCTTTGTCTGTTGTTCCGTCTTCCTTCCGTTTGCTGTTGTCTGTCGCGTGGCTGCGTCTGTCTGCTGCTTTGCGTTTTTGTTTGTTTTTTGTTGTTTTTTTGTTTTTGGTTTGTCTGTCTTGCATGTCTGTCGGAAGGTCTCTCACGAAATCCCTAACTCCTTTGAATTCCGTCTCGTTTCCTCATCACTAATAAAACACTGAGTGCACGATACGTTACCAAAGACGTTCAACAACTCAGGTCAATACGCGAACTAGTTTGGAGGGCAAATAGATAAATTTATTAGTTAGTTTTAATTTTATGTAATAATAATACAAAATTACAATCGCTATTCTTTCCACATGCGTTCGCCTATAGAAATACCGAATATCAGAAGTAGCTAGCCCAGTGACTAAGAGAGTTGAAAAAGTACTGAAAAGTATGGGTTCAATTCTGTGATGAACAGCCCTCTGTTGTCCGGAGGGGATTTAGTTATTAAGTGCGAGGCAACTTCGCACGCATCTGGCAAACATTCACCACGGCATGCTTATCCTAAACTCATTGAGCTGCGGACCAGCGCTGGAAATCGCTTTCGATGCTTCTCGAATAGACGAACGACTGGTGATACCAGACACCATTTTAGAAATTAATTCATGTCGCACTGTCCGGATTCTTTTTGATTATCTTTCACAACGGCTTTGACAGATATGTTGATGGCGGATGATCGTTCAGCAGAGAACTGACATAGAACTTACCGACATCTACTACATAAACCGCTGTTATTGTGCCCGTTCTTCCCTATTCTCTGGATGAAGCGAAATGTGCGATGAACCATCACCGACTCGGGAACCGCGTCATGGGTGCTCGCATATCCTGGGTGCTGTCGATTGCATGACAATTTATGATGTTCCGCGTAGCCTTCCGTGCACCGTTTTTCATCCATTTTCAACACTTTCTGCTCCAGAAAGAGTTCACTTGGCGTCTTCGCACCTGTGGTCCATGCCAGCAGAGCATAGGTGTTACTGTATGTCAAACTATTGACTTGTTTGAGTTATGGCGTTGGCTTGATGGTACAAAAAAAAAACGCGGGAACCGCTAATAAGCAACGTACTAAATGAAATTTGTTCAGTTTTCTTGGGAAAAGAGCTCCAGGGATGTCCTACCGTTAAAATTAAGCCCTACAAACGCTTAAATCGATTAAACAAATCGAGTCAACAGCAAGTATGAGGGAAGAATATTGAGGATCAACTGAAAGTCATCAGGCTATGCAAATAGACATCGAAGGCGGCTCAATCCGGGCCGTAAGGTATGCTTCCCCGAAGGGTTAGGGGACGAAAGTTCCTTTAAATTTTCTCTGTAGTCCCAACTGGGATTGTCCTGATAAAGGGCCTACATCTAATATATGTTTGTGTAGCTTAAAGTAAGCTCGCTAATGCAGTAATTTTTGCTCTGTGACTCTCGTCCTGGCAAAGGACTCTCAGTGTAGTGGTAAATCTATTGCCGTAGCAATTGGAATTTATCAGTCTCACTTTTTTTGTCATCAACGGTTTGATTCAATTTGGATTATTCAATGTTTTGTATTACGCTAAACCTGCTGCTATTTTTATTTTATCGTAAAAAGTTTTCCCAACTATACAGCTGTAAGAGCATTGCTCGAGACGCGTTCCACACCCAAAACAAACAATAGTTAGAATGCAACCGTTGGATTTTAAGCGATTCCGACATTCCAAGTGTTCAATCTTCCCTAGGAGCGAGTTAGGGTCTGTTCTCTTTCAGGAGCTCAGGGGTTCTTCGGGACATTGAACAGTAATTGAGGTGTGGTTCACTAGAGCAGAAAGCGTTTTTTCGCGTTTCGCAGCGCGGAAACATTTTTCGCTGCGGGAACCTCAGGTCCACCGCTGATCATGAGTGGACCTGGAGTTCCCGCAGCGGTTTCGCGCACGGAACGCGAAAAAGTCGCTTTCTGTCCTGGTGAACTACACCCCGGTAATTGGCTCTTCATGAACCTTCGCGAGCTCCTTTGTGACAATGGACATAACTCGCTACAATCGCTTATGAATCACACTATGGTCACAAAGTCTGACGCCTGCCCTATCGCAAGTGGCGGTTCTGTATACAGTAATACACGGCTGTTCTGAGCGTTTGGAAAGGAAGGGGACTCACGTCGTGGGCCGTACCTCAAACCTTTATTTTAGAAAGAGGCGCTCGTCTTCCTGAACGTATAGCCAGCGCTAACCACTTCTTTGAGAAAGCCTGTCCAAACACAATTTGAGTATGCTTTAAGGTTGTTTCATGGATTTTGACCATGTGGTTCTGTGGCGGATTCATCGTGTACTTTATAGCTCGAGCACTTGGTGGTGATGTTGGATACTCTCAGGTTTTTTTTCTTGTCTTATAATCACTTTTTGGAGCCAAACACTTCATTTTCTATGTCGAATTAATTCATTTGTGTTATACTAAGGTTTAGGTTCTCGGAGTTGTTGGATATTGCTTAATTCCTCTGGTGGTTACTGGATTCCTCATGACTGTTGTGGCCAGGTTTGTTTACATTTCTTATCGCGTGGAGATGATTATGCGATCCATTATAGTATTTTTCTTAACCAAGCGGTTGCTCTTAATCGTTTTGCTTCTATCTTCGTTTTTGAGCCATAAAATCGTTTTATTTTCGATAATAAATCATTAAATTATTAGACCTTCTGTGGGTTCTTCCTTGCTTAGAGGTTAAACCGTCCTTGTTGTAGCTATAGTGAGGTTGTAAGAGTTTATGCTCCTCGTGAAGTTACCTTTCCCAGCCTCCACGTCACCAACAAATGGCATCGTTTTCCAGGGTTCGCCCTAACCATCCATTCCCATTCTGTTGCTTTTTGTATAGTCGTTGCTTGTTTCTCTTAACGACGCTATGTGCGTCTATTTTTTCACCTACCCTACTTCATGAGACTAACAAATCTGCAGCGAATCCCAAATATTATGCTCGGCCCTGTCTGGAGCAATAAATATGGATCAATGTGGGATATAGACCCCTATAAAACACTTATTTATTTTTTTTTCCAGAAACCACTGCAATGAGGGACCGGTATTTCGGTGTCGATTATGTAAAATAATAAATTGGTGTGGTTCTTATTGCTTAAATAGGGGGGGGGGGGGGTATTCCAAGAGGTATGGGTTGGTTAAAGCAGAGCGCGGCGTCAAGGCGGGGTTGGCCAAAAAAAACCATTCCAAACCAGAGTCAACCCTGCGTTGCGCAGTTTTCAACGGCCACGTTGCGCAGTTTCGCCCGATTAGACACGTTCTCTCGCGCGAACATTCACACTCGCATGCTCGAGCCGTCTGTGTCTCCGCCCATACAGCGTGCGTTGAGGAATGCTCGTTGCGAACTGCGCAACGCAGGGGTTGACTCTGCTTCCAAAGATTTTGCCCAAGGAACACCGTCTACCACCACCTTTTATGCATCATCTTTTATAGTAAATGGTAGTGCATTGGTCTAGAACCTTATTTATTCCTAACTTCCTGAATTACATTTCAAAACTGGCCATGAGCAGCATCTGCGCAGAGCTTTTTTCCAGTGACACGGCCCTTCAATTAAAGGCGGTTTTCACAATGGAAAGGCTGTCCATTAAAAACTAAGTGAGCTAGTCGGTGATGCACGATATAAGGAGGAAACCGAGGAAAATGCTCAGATTCCGAGAAATGCGAGGTCCATTTTTTGCGCCTCGTTTTATCGCTTGCGTGATGGCGTACACCACACGACCGCTGCCTTCTTTAACAGCATAACGCCTCTCGTCGAACGGTTCAGAGCCTGTTGACAGAGGACAACGCGAAGGGACGTACCGCGCAAAATGCGTGACGGCGAGAAGGCGATTACTACAATCTCCGGCATATCCTGAGAATTTTTGCTCAAGTTCATGGTGAAGGGACCGTGAAGCTCCTCCCTAGATCTAGGCGAGAATCTTCATCCATCTCGCCCGTTTTGGGTGATTTGCTTTCAGAGGCTTCCCCGCTTGCAGCGCTAACTTTGATAGGCTAATTGTTTCATTTGATTGATAACTATTGTCTATTGTAATGTCCATACGGCGTTGCATAGGTCATCATAAGAAAATTGGTTCAAGATTTAAATTGGCTTTCGAAGGCGTTAGGATTTGGTTGGAGTCGTGTGGTAGAGTAAGTACTACTAGTGCGCGGCACATTGCATGTGCGTCTAGAGTCTGACCCCAATCTAAGAAGCCAAATTCTTCTCTTATCCCGTGTTCTTGCGTATACTGGTTTTTACTTTTCTCTTTCTATACTCTGGTTTGTGTTAGTAATTGCCTTCAGAAATAGGTGGCTTTCCTTACCTATACTCAGCTCTACGACAGTAAGACATTGTTCACAGTCTACGACGTCTCGGGAGCATAAACGGCGTCTGTGAAAACAATTTCGTACGAATCAGGAGAATAGGAACGTGGGAAGTCGTGTAAGAGACTGTGAAAGGTGTCGAGTAGTTTTCATTTAAAATCCTCGTGACGTCTAATTGATGGTAGCACCGGACTTAAATGATGTTGGTCACCTAACAATCTTTTCTTTTCCTTATGTTTCCTGATTGGCGAAAAGCTGGAGAGGGCTAGGGCCTTCTCCAGCTTTTCGCCTACGCGATTCTGCTCCTCCACTATATACAAGTCACGGGCTGCAGCTATAGGCTGTGAACAATGACTAAGGATGCTAGCGTGTGGGGGTGCTCTAATGAATAGTCCTCTATATAGGTTTTTTAGGTTTATAGCGAGAGTTTTCACTTCAACACTAATGGTGTGGAACGATGCGCTAGCCCTAGTCAAGAACATAAGAAGTGTGACTGAACAAAAAACTCACCTTGGAAAGCCGCTAGAAAGGGAGCTGAACGGCTTCGAAGTGGGCGTGGTTGCTCAGTCGGCTGCAATCCCTCGGCCGATTCCAACCACGCCCACTTCGAAGCCGTTCAGCTCCCTTTCTAGCGGCTTTCCAAGGTGAGTTTTTTGTTCAGTCACACTTCTTATGTTCTTGACTAGGGCTAGCGCATCGTTCCACACCATTAGTGTCGAAGGTAAAAACCCTGCTGGGACTGTTGCTTTAGAAGATAAATAGCGTCTGAAATCGGGCATGGAACCTCTTTCATTAGAAGAAGTGCAGAACCGCGAGTGCATCTTGAAATGAGCATTAGTCTACCCTCCACGGAATTTTCATCTCTTTAGTCGATTTTGCTCTTCTGCGTTAGTAAGGTCCAGGATGTTTCACGTTTGTTGTACACAGAGAGATCAGAAGTTTGTTCTGTTTTTTTTTCAGCTTTCGCTTTTTGAATCACGCCTTGTTGTTTTTCTATGAAATATGTTTGGGTTCTTCTAACGCTATACTTCTACTTATGCTGTTGTACATAAATACCGCCTCTAGAGCTCCATTATTATTTTTATTCCATTTCATGTATTCTGAAACGTCAATTTAGGCTACCTAGCTGTGATAGCTATTGTGTTATGATTTTTGACCCTGGATCAAAACGGGCATCTATTGGTGTTGCATCATGGTTTTCATTAAAGATATTTGAATTTCATGGTGTATTGTTATTAAAAGCAAAAAATAGCGAGGAACATATTCTGGAGTTGTGAACAGATGTTCCAGGTGCTTCTGTTAACCCACTGCGAACTGCGTATTGCACCATATGCAGCCCGCCACTACACCGAAAAGGATCGTTATCCTTGATTAATTCACTATTTTTCTGAGCAGTAATTTATTAGGAAACTTTCGACTTTTTCTAAACTGTTTTCCGAAGAAATTGTTATGCGTTTGGATACTGCAATTACTACTGGTTCATTGCCAGTTACTTGTAAAACACGAGAAAAAAAACTACGCAGTAACCCACATAACGGAAGCAGTCAAATGCTCACATATATTCAGTAACGAAGAAGCTTCGTGCATCGACTTCTACACGTTTTAAATGATGAAGCCCTTGGTTCTCACGTATGGCGGGGGTATGAACAAATGTGTCGATCTGAGCGGAGTACTCGACCGAGCTCCTCTCGGGACAATGTGCGCTACAAGTTGATCGCTATCGGGGCAGTTTATTTACGTCAGACTGAGACTTTTCGCATGATTAGGTGTAACGTATATTTTGAATAGCATTTCGTTTTGGTAGTTATCCAAGGGAATGCAGGCGGCTGAGGACAACAGTTTACAGTCAAAAACTGACCCTTGCTGTTCTGGCTTCCTGATAGCCGGCATAGAATTGAAGCTGTTTGCAAGTACCCCTTTTTGTCACCCATAAGATTCGTTGCGATAACAGGAATAGCATCGTTATACCTTTAAGGGGCTTTAATTTTAGCGCTGCATTGAAGTACATATGACACTCACCATTCTTGAATGCACTGCGCATGCGACTTCCTTCTATAATCACATCCTGATCATAGCTCTGTCAGAGCTGTACACTGTTGAAACCAATATTTCAAATATATAGATCTCTGCTGAAACGAAAAATTCTTATATATTTTCCAGTATTTTTTTCAAATTTCGTCGAGATTTTCAAGATTCTTATTTTCTCAAGAATACAGCGCCCTCCGGTTAAGGCAGCCGGACGTACGGCAGCCTACGACTCTCAAATTCACCCATATCCCCTTAATCATCTTCTTGGCAAATACAAACTCTTGTCGATAGATCCTCTACCGTGGCTCACAGTGCCCCTTAGTGTAAGGGATACCCTCGTAAAAATGATTAAAATTGAAAAAATAGAGGGGCGTACAAATTGGGACCAGTTTGTTGCGAGTGTTGCCCTTTGTTACCTCCACTGTAATATAGTGCTTTTTTTTGGAATTCCGCTCAAATTTCATACGGATGCTCAGCTGTGCCGGTAAGAGAGCGCTATGAAAGGATAAAAACCTACCCGACATTGATTGGTCCTTGTTGGAGATGCGCCACGAATCCTGCCTTTCACGCCATTTGGATGCAATTTGTCATATGGGTAAACTGACGCGGAGGCTAGCGTACTTATAAGTAAGTGTTCTTACCTCGGGACCAATTAGGCGCCTCGAAGAGGTCAAGGGCTTGACAGGCTTGAGTGACATTCGGTCCGGGTCTTAACTACCATACTACACCCTCTACACCCTAAAAATAATAGTGATATAACGAATATAAAAACGCTAGCAGAGCGAGCTACTCGTTTTAAGGAAACCGAGCTAATTCCATCGCTCAAGCGCAGCCTAAGATACTAGTCAGAAGTACTTTCAAGAGAGATCAGAAGACTTGTTGACCCCTGTGGGGCACATTCTCGGAACAGTGCCGACGTGGTGCTTCTAACCCTCTTCTTGCTCTGGTAGAGTCAAAAATTATCCAGAATGATCTCGTAGATGATGAACTCGACTGGGATCTGCTGAAAAAAAAAAATCATTCAGTGAAAGCCATGGGGAATTACTTTTTGTGGATAGCTGCTGTTTTCATTTCTGGCAAAACTTCTACACAAGACCTCTGAATTTGTAGGTAAACTGTGTGCCTAGCCGCATTCGACCCTTACACCTTGCTTTCTTTGTTTTGTTTTGTTTTGTCCTCAACTCAGCATTCCTGTGATAACAGCGAAATGCATTCTGATCCAGTGACTAATCAATCGGAGAGCTGCATATGCTGTCATCAGTAAAGGCTTTGACCCTTCGAGAATGTTACACATTCACGACGACCACTTTTCGGTCGCGTGGGACGGACGCGATTTTGTGGGCGCCGCCGCCTCACCACATAACCGCAGATTTTGTTTTGTAAATGAACAAAAACATGAATGTCACAAAATAATTTCTGCAATGTCCAATGCGTAAAGATTATCTAAACATATAACAGTAGGATTTCGATCAGAACGACAAATAGTGGTTTAGCGACGAAAAGAGCATTTTATTCACTTTCCCCGTGAAGGTGAAGGCATTTACACTCGATTACGAGGTTTGCCCACCTATCTGTCCATTCCTAGCGCCTGGCAAGCGATTATCAGTTGGCAGCCCATATGGGCTGCCATCGTCCCAGGAGCGCATGTTGTTGGCAGCCCATATGGGCGGCCATCGGCGTGAATGTGTTAACCCACTTTTGCACGT